CGAGACAGTGGTTGAAGCCAATATCGATTTTATTGAATAAATCTAAGTATTTCCAGATATGTTTTGTGTAATTTTGGTAAATATATTTGTTAGAATGAGATGCCAGTGTTGTATTCATTTATTCGACAATTTATACATCGCCCCCTGTATAAAATATGCATTTAAGGAAAGATGTTTCATGTCTGCGTATGGGTGTGAGAGAATGTGTACATAGGGAGTGGAACCAAGTGGAATATAAATTGAACTCAATTGGTTTACACGTTAGTATCGGCTAAAACCTTGTGAATATATTCAATCGATTGGATGCTGCCATGTTGGCGGCAACTATAAAGTATAACATTTTATTTTTAATTTATTTAATTTTTACGTTATTTGAGTACATTTTTACTTTTCAGTGAATATTTACTTTTTATTTCTTAAAACATCTATCCTTACTTTGTGTTCTTTCATTTCGCTGTTTATTTTACCCACTTTTTTAATTTTCTTATATGAATTCTGTATTTTTTATACTTTATCCCTCCCATACATATATGCATGTTGTTGTACTCACTGTTCTCGTATTTTATACTATTTATATTCCTCCTTCTCTTTCCTCAAGTCGGATATTTATTTTTTATATGTACTGGATTTATTTTACTTCTGTTCTACCTATATTTGAGTAAGAGAAATTTCTTGTTTTTTTTTTTTTGTTTTTTTTTTTTTCGGGTGTTGTTGCAAATCTTGAATGGATAAAACAAAACCCAGTAAATATCTTAATGCCATCGCTATGTCAGAATAAACGAAGCTCTACAGATATATATTTTTGGTATTTCTATGTTTATAATTAACAAAGAAAAATCCCTTTTTTACCGTTTTTCTTTTTCCATTCTTCTGCTACATATCCATTGCATGTTTAAAATCAATTCTCACCCGATTGTTAATGTCTTCAATCTCGCAGGTATATATATATATATATATATATATATATATATATATATATATATATATATATATCATCTGGTCGTTACTTTCTTTCATGTTCCTCTATTAACTTTTATTTACCTAATTTATTTATTTTTATTTCATGGATATAATATTTTTTGCAGTGTGGTTCGTGATGTGCAAGGTCTGGGGGCAACCCGAGGTAGAGGGTTAAATTAAGAGGCAGTTTATATGAATAAGAGAATGATAATGGTAAACCCTAGACTTGAAAACGGTAAGGTTATAGTGATTGGGGAAACAACCTTTAGGTGTTCCACAGACAAGTGAAAGAAACTGATCGAGTGGAAGTTATTCTTACCGAAGAAATATGGAAGGGATAAAGGTGGTTTGGTACAATGTAAGTGTCTGGGCGGGTCCTAGCTGTGAAGGTTATGATTGGTGGAACCAAACAATATAGTTCATCAATGGAATTAGAGATTCAACAGTGACAGGATTGCTACATCTCTGTGAAGGAAAGAGTGGAAAGTAGAAAATTATTTGTCACCCAAAAGGAGTCGGAGACGCTTTTTGTCTCAATCGAGATTGGAAATAGAGGATTGAGCATCCCTCGCTCTATTATGTCACCTGCACTCAATTCCCGGCCAGATCTTGCTTTTGTAAAGGTAGGGGATAGAATGAGGAGTCAGGTACAGAGAGCCGACTATGTTTTCTGCATCTTTAGCGATGGATACTGGTAGTCTAATGTCTAGTGGCTATTAACAAGACCGAATTCCAGCCGAGTTAGCAGAATTCACCTGGAAATTTATCTCAGTGCAAGGCGTGGAAGTGCGCACTAGTCTAGGAAAAATATAGCTCAGAATTCAAAACCACCTGTAGCCCTTGCTTAGCACATGCAGTTCTTTAAAAAATATTTTTTAAATAAAATCGATAATATTAAAATGCGTTAAAAAAATAATTGACATTTCGTAATTGTATAAAAATTAATACAGAATATATTTTAAGTATAACAAATAATATTGTATTGTATTAAAAGTAGTTAAGAAAATTAGATATTTATTAACAAGGTATCATGTTTCATTGTTGCTTTTTTGTGGTACCTCTGTTAACACACTTTTCTATATGAAATACTTGTATAGGATGACATCTCCCGTGCCATCTAACGTGTTCGAGATTTTTTATCAATCATATGTGCGTCTCACTTTTCTCAGGCGTAGATGTCGTCAAGCAATAATTTTCACATTCTGCTTCCCAATCTGTAGGTATGATTTATTTCACTTTATGAAATACGCAGTTAGATAGACACTACTTCACCGGTAAATAAAAAAAAATCTAATTCGCACAGATTGTTGTCGGTTTAAACTACTGGGAAAATGGTATTGTGTTCTAAACTAACGACTAAGGCTCAGTAAACTTTTTCACACGACGTTTGCTGAAAAGCCATGCGTCTTATACAAAGAGGAAAACGGTATGCTTGTAAACTGGTGTACAGATAGATGTAAAAAAAAAAAAACTATAGTGCAATTTAAAGATTAGTAACTTAGCATCTATATTCAAATGTTTAAAACACCTGTTCAGCAACAAGGTACATGGTGCAATCCGCTGAGACTTGGAGACAAAACTGTTGCAATGTTTTTCATACATTTATTTGCCTCTGGTCAGACACGGTCTATCGTCTATTGTTAACCTGTTAACAAACACATACTCAAGTCCCAATTTTTTAATAAAGCGTATCACGGATCATGATCTCTTATTTCTTTATATTGTAGTTAACATTGGTATCTATAAATATCACATTTATTTATACTGAGTTTTAAAATCACACAAATATACACATGTACACATTCAGAGATACACACGCACCTATACATACAAACGAATATATATGTGTAGCGCTTTATGCGTGTAAAAACGAAGAAGTAAACAATCTTCAAACACGGATCTACCAATTTAGATTAATTTTATTATTGAGTATTAGTTTACTTCATGTTGAAAGAAAGAGATTACACTAATACTCGCGAGATTCTCACTCAAAAAAATTTTTTTCACCTTCTCCATAGGGAAAAAAGTGTGACACCTATTTATGTAGTTTTATATATGTGTCTAATTTCTAGTAGCAGAATCGTTCAGACAAGCAAGAAATCTGCGTTAATACTACTGCTTACATTTGTAAATAAACGGAGTCTGTATGTTTTTTTTGCGTTTCTTAACTTAATATCGTTAAGCTGTTTTAGTAATACAGTATACTCGAATAAATATGCGAAAATATGAGAAATTAATTAGGAATTTCAGCTTGTATAACGAACAAACGACGGTGTTCAAATGTTTAGAGTAAAAACGAAACAAAATCTTTTGGCGAACTAATAGGATCGCTTTTATAACCGAGAATTCGACTCCAAAATACATAAAAGATTTTATTAAACTCATAAGTATATTGGTTAATAAAGATTTTTCTCAATTTTAAGTATCTAATGTTAGGAAGGCAATATGGTTAATCATTATTGAAATCTTCAGAATTTATAGAAGTCGATAAACATATACACTTGAAATTTTAAATGTCTCAGCCCTTTTACAAATAACGTTGCTGATTGGTTACTATATGTGAATGTGGAAATTCAAATCGGAGACTGCATTTTGCACAAGAAAACGAGTCAGTTTCTGTGTGAGCAAGTTTTTGTATGATTTTTGTTTTTACTGATATCACTTAAATCCATAGCATTTTCTACAATACTGTAACGGGGGTTCCATGTATATATATATATATATATATATATATATATATATATATATATATATATATATGGGGAAGAGGTTATAGTAGTTCCAACGATAGAAAAGTGTGTATATTAAAAGAAGAGAGAATCCGAAAACGTTTTTTCGTTGTATATATATATATATATATATATATATATATATATATATATATATATATATATATCAAAAAGTAATTTTATATATTCCACATGGAAAAAATAGATCTGAAGTGATACATATAACGGCAAAGCCACACGTCTCTCCAATTCATCGTAACTTTTGAACATCATAGAAAATGTTACTGTAAATGAATATTTTTAAAGACTACACTAGCATTTTCAAATTTTTTCCTTAACATTAAACAGTATATTTATTTTCAATTAAGCGGAGCGTCTATACAAGCATGATTAGCCAGTAAAAATAACGTTTAAGTAATAAAAAGTTTCGGATTCATAAATAAACATCCATCCCTTCTTTAGAAATTGCTTTGTTTACGTTAGGTAACGAAACCAAGTACATATGGATTTTTCGAGAGCCTCGTAATCATTTGTGTTTGTAAGACAGTATTTAACGTTGCTTGTTCTTCTTGACCGACGGCTATTAAGATGTATAGTACAGGTTATCAGTAAATTAAACCAAATCGCGGAAAAATAAACTACTTATTCCAGTGGCAGACATTCTAGCATAATTATCTCGTCACTAGTAACATGAGACAATAGGTGATATCTTGACTTCTTCCCACTTCTGGCTTGTCTATTTGACATTTCTTTTAAAAAGCAATTTCGTCCGTAATACTGTTCCAATCATTTATTCAGCTTTGCCGACATATATATCAGAGTTCTGCTTGAGGATGCCTGAGTTTTAGAGCGTATTTAATTTCACTTCTCATTCGAATCACTGTGAAATCATAAAACAAAATCCATAATATCTCCGCCTTTTATCCAAATCTTCTAAGATGAATTCAAAGGATTTTCTTCCAGCGGTTCTAGTTTGCTTATGAGTCAATTCAACCAAAATCTCTGATAAGGCTTATATAAAATCCCTGTTTTCACCGATATCTCTGATGTTTCGCGTATTCAATTAGAAATAAGGCTATACGACCACATTTCTCACAGCGTTTGATCCTGATCTGCGATAAATTAATATTAGACAGTTTAAGAATGGTTGGCACTTTGTCGGCAACAGTATTGAAACTTAGAAATTTACCGGATTTCTTTTCTAAGACTGGGTTTGGTATTTAAAAGCATATCGACTTTAAGAATGAAAAGGAAAGTAAGCAAAATTTTGTATACATTTATAAAGTCAACATCAGCATGCGGGCTACATTACGTTGAAACACCGGTTTCCGTATGATCAGCGAAGTTAAGCAACGTCGAGCGTGATCAATACCTAGATGGGTGACTGCAGCGGAATACCAGATGCTGTAAGCTTGAAGATAGGGGTGGTGTCTGGACAATGGCTTGGAATTGTTAATCGACTCTCCAATTACACCGGCTGAAAATGTGTTCATTGTAATCATCATCGGCAGTAATAATGCAAGGCGATTTTTTCCTCTAGACATCTTTTACTAAATTTCCAACATTATAACTGTGAATTTCTTCAATGTTTCCCACTATATAAAGAGGTAGTTGCCGACCTTGTCTGTTTTTTTTTCTGTCAGACGTCTACATAAATACATCCATGCATGATGTAAGTCAATTCGTTAATCCCTTGCCCACCAATTTGAGAAGATTAAGAAACTGAGGCACCTTGAAATACCTGAGCGCTTGCTAATACATCTACCAGACATATGAATTGAGAATTGGACTCATTTCAAGCCCAGGAGGGTATAAAAATTAATCAAGATCAACGAATAAACAAGTCTGTAGCTATTTTTAACGTTATGTTTTGAACGTGTATATTCGTCCGTGTCTCAAAACGACACTTTCAATGAAAGCGTATATACAGGTCTACGGCGGGGAATGGTGTAAATGTCTGAACAAGGCCATCAGACTAAAACCTTATATATATATATATATATATATATATATATATATATATATATATATATATATATATATAAAGGCTAAAAGCGTTCGGACATACAGAATATTTTAACAATTTCTACATAATTTGTGTCCCGAAAAGAAAGAAATTCCCAAAACACAAGATAAATAAAAAAAAAGTCTTGTACCTTGTCAGTTGTATTTAAGGAAACCTGAATACGAAAGGGATTGTTGTATACAATTATATATATATATATATATATATATATATATATATATGTGTGTGTGTGTGTGTGTGTGTGTGTGTGTGTGTGTGTGTGTGTGTGTGTGTACAGTCCATGTGAGCAAACATCGGCGCAAGTAAAAAGAAGAAACATTTTATGTAAAGATGGGTGTGGAGAGGTATTCATTCAATTAGCCTAAAAAAATACAAAGAAAAATAAGAACAAAAAATAGCATGGAAACTTATCTTATGTTTAAATGTCACTAGAGTTTAGCTCAAAGAAGATTATATTTTAGGTGCCTCCTCTCAACTCGCCAAAACATCAGATATAAACTTAGCACGCCAGTCAATAAACGAGAACTGTTTGAAGAAATTCATTCTTTTTGAATAACCACTGACCACTACGAAATTGGCTGTATTTTCCCCCACAACTCAACAGGAATGGGATAGGTACATGAATTCGTTTTTATTTCGGGTGGTAATTTACAACGATTGTATTTGAATGTATCGACAGCCAGCGGGTGGGTTACGGTAGCCTTCATTGACATATACGATAATGGGGAATTTTAGTTTATAAGGTTGAACTAAAATGATCTATCTCTACTTTGCCCGAACAAAACACATACAGACAGACACACCAAAAGAAAAACTGAACATCTATATGCCAATCAAAACAGGCACACAATTCAACAAACCAATCGTCATATTTCGTGTCGAATGGGATTGTCAGAAACATCCTTAACTGAAAATTTATGTAAGATGTCTTAAGTTAGAGATGTTACATTTAAAGTTCTTGCTCTATGTAAGTTAGAAAGCAATGCGAAGAAGTAGAAAAAATCCTTTGTTTTTCCTTGACTCTTTGAAATAGATATCAGAAAATTACTTTCACAGTAAACCTAAAAGTACTTTACGATTATTCTATTTTCTTTGTACATATGTTGTATACTGCCGGTACTCTCAGATTAAAAAAAAAAAAAAAAAAAAAAAAAAATAATATATGGCCAAGTTTATTTTCGTTAAATGAAATGTACCAATAAAGATAAGGTTACAGTGTACTCGGCAAGAAATATCTCTGCTGGTCCATGTAGAGGATGAAAAGAGCGTTTTTCTGAGAACTGTTTTATAGTCGTTGAAAAGAGTTCTCCTGAGAAGGACAGTTTTGTAGTCGCTGAAGAGCGTTGTCTTTAAAAGTTCGGTTTTGTAGTGGATGTGAAGCGTTGTCCTCAAAATGGACAGTTTTGTAGTCACTAAGGAGGGTTTTCCAGAAAAGGGTGCTTTTGTAGTTGCTGAGGAGAGTTGTCCTTAGAAAGGACATTTTTGTAGTCGCAGAGAAGCATTGTCCTTAGAAAAGTACAGTTTGTAGTCACTACGGAGGGTTTTCCTGCAAATGGCCGTTTTGTAGTCGATAAACAGCGTTTTCCGTAAAAGTTCAGTTTGGTAGTGGTTGAGAAGCGTTTTCCGGAAAAAGAACAGATTTGTAGTTAGTGAGGAGGATTTTCCTGAAAAGGCCAGTTTTGTAGTCGCTGAGGAGCATTATCCGGAAAAAGGATATTTGTCGTCGCTTAAAAGTGTTGTTCTGAAAAGGAGATTTTATGGAATATCTTTTTTGTTGGCGAGGATGGCTGGCTAGAGCTGAAGATGGCTGGAGCTGCGGCCGATGTCGAGCTGGAGCTGCGGCCGATGGCGAGCTCGAGCTGCCGCTGATGCTGGCTAGCTGAAAATTCTACTAATAATGGCTGGAGCCGTGGCTCGGCTGTCGACTGTTGAAACAGATTCTACACTTTGGAGCCTTTTTATATCTTGAATCAGTTTTAAAACAATCGCTTAAGCTTTTTTCTCGTCGTTTTTTAAAAAGTGTGGGGGTGCCAACAGGATAAAACATGTGCCACCGTTACTCGTCGTGAAGAACATTTGACATCAAAACTGTTGCTCAGCCGACATTAAAGAAACTTCAGCAATATTTAACCTTCGTGCTAACAAAAAAAAATGGCGTATCAAAAGAATAGTTATTCTTATGACACGGCTATTATTGTATACACTTTTTACTCTCTGGTCAATGCTTTTTTTAAAACAAGATTATAAAAATATATTAACCAAGCAGAAAGTGATGTTTATCACTGATCTTTTATAGAAATTACCATTTTATAAAGAAATACATTTTCAAAGTCGTCCCTTTATTTTTTTTTATAAAAGATTACAAAGATTTTAAAGTGTGCAAATAAAATACAATGCAATATTCATTATTTACCATTTTATAAATCACTACGGAAATCCTTATTCGGAATTATATAGAAATGCCATTAAACTATCAATGTTAATTCTCGAGAATAAAGAATATGTTCAAATCTATTTTCATACGTTTGGCTTTTATAAAAGAAAATTCTAATCCTCGCTTTTTAAGACAATAAACATTGTCGAAGGAGTCAAACATGTCTACTGAAATAACGGTGTCAATGGAATAATTGTACTTTTGATGTACCGTTTATTACAGGCACGAACGTTAAACATTATCGTCTGCGTATTTAATCAAACTTGTTTTAATATCATGACTGCGTGAGCGTATAAAACAGTAAATATTTAACTTCTATTGATATAATAAAATAGGTAAATAACAAATAACATGATAAAATAAGAAAATATATAAACTTCCATTAATATGAGAAAAGTTATGAGGCAAATGATTCCTAACGAGATATTTGAGTAAATCTAAAATCTACTCCAATATCTCGATATAATGTGACCTGAAATTATGGGTAATTAAATATGCAGCTTCCCCGATATGTAAGCATGTACATTAGCAAATCGCAACATTCTGATTTCGCCAGAAAGCTTGAAAGTACTTAATGCAGGCTCTCTTGATGTGATTTTATCATATTAACTTTCTTTCATTCTTTCTTTTTATCTGATTCTTTCTTTCTTTCTTTCAGTCTGAGAACGTTTTTCCTGTACGTGTCTTTATTGACACGTTTTCTTTCTTCTGCGCTGTGTAAGTAATTTCATTATTCTACATTTATTATTTTTCTTTACTTCGCTCTACGTATTACATTTTATTATATTACATTTCTTTTTTCCATTTTTTTTTTCACATCCTTTTTTTTCTTTCTCATCCCTTATTCTATCTTAGCACACCTTCCTGTAATTTTTTTTCTTGTCCCCTTTCTTTCAATCTTCTGTGATATGAATGCCATTTCATATTACATTTCTTTCTCTCTTTATTCTTCTGTAATATGCATATCATTTTAACATATTATCTTACATTCTTTTCTTAGTTTTCTTCTTTCTTGCTTTCATTTTTAGAACGATATTCTTGTACATTTTCTTTCTTTCGACGTTTCCTTTCTTTTGTGCTACGTAAGTCATTTCATTATATTAAATTTATTTTTTCTTTCCTTCTTACTTTCTGTTTTTCTTTTTCTATCTCTCTTTCTTTTTTATTTTTCTGTACTATGTATTTTATTTTATCATATTACCTTTTTTTCCTTTTACTTTCTTTCTTGCTTTCTGAGAACGTATTTCCTATACTTTTCTTTCTTGCTATGTTTTCTTTCATTCTTCTGTTGTGTGTAAGTCATTTTCATCATATTACATTCCTTTCTTTTCAGTTTTTCTTCTCTCTTTCTTTTTCTCTATCGCTTTCTTTCGTTATTTTTCCGCGTTACGTACTTCATATTTTATCAGATTACCTTTCTTTTTATTACTTTGTCTTTCTTTCTCATCTTTGTTTTTCTTTATTAGCACGTCATTACTGAAATTTTCTTTTTCGACATCCTTTCTTTTAATCTTCTCTGATGTAAATGTCATTTCATTATATTTACATTTCTTTCTCTCTTTCTATATCCTTCTGTGCTGTGCTATTTTATATTCTTGCTGTGTATGCCATCTTATCATATTATCTTTCTTTCTTTCTTAATTTCGTTTTCTTTCCTTCTTTCTTTTTCTTTCTTTCTTTCTTTCTTTTTCTGTACTTTCCTTTCTTGCCATGTTTTCATTTGACCTTTATTTCTTACAACGTTTTCTTGTTCTTTTCTTTCAAACCATGTTTTTTCCTCCTTTCATTCCTCCAGTCTATCTTGCCTTAATATGTATTATTCCTTTAATTATAGCGTCTGGAGGTGGGATAATGTTTGGCGAGACTACTCCTGTTGACTATTACTACCTTTCTATTGAAATAATTCCTCAGAGCATACGTTTATTTATTTATGTATTCATTTTCTGCGGCT